AATGCTACAATATTTGATCTAAATGCAGTAAAAACAACAACTTAGAAATATTGTAAAATCTAATACTGCTCTTTTGTATTTTACAATATTTTAAATACTATTTATTTTTACAATTCAAAGCTGAACTTTCAGTGATAAAAACAGCTGCGTTCATGGAAACAATGTTACTTTCCTTAAATAGATAATTCAACAGAAAAGCATTTTTCTGAACTTTATCGTTACTGTCAATTTTTCCACATCCATTCATTCATTCATTCATTTTCTTGTTGGCTTATTCCCTTTATTAATCTGGGGTCGCCACAGCGGAATGAACCGCCAACTTATCCAGCAAGTTTTTACGGAGCGGATGCCCTTCCAGCCGCAACCCATCTCTGGGAAACATCCACACACACATTCACGCACACTATGGACATTTTAGCCTACCCAATTCACCTGTACTGCATGTCTTTGGACTGTGGAGGTAACCGGAGCACCCAGAGGAAACCCACGCGAAGGCAAGGAGAACATGCAAACTCCACACAGAAACGTCAACTGAGCCGAGGTTCGAACAAGTGACCCAGCGACCTTCTTGCTGTGAGGCAACAGCACTACCTACTGTGCCACTGCCTCGCCCCTTTTTCCACATCCTTGCTTATTAAAAGTATTATTTTTTTCACAAATGTTACTGAAGTTAATAGCTTTCTTTTTCAGAATAAATATGCTGTTATTTTGACTTTTCTACTACAAAATTCAATATTGATAATAAGTAAAATGTATTTAGTAACAAATCAGCATTTAAACACATTTAAAAATTCTATGCAGACACTTTAAAAATAATTAATGGATTAACCTTAAATAAACAAAAATAATAATCTGAAAATCCAATTATATATATGGGCATTATTAACAGATAATTACCTCCTTGGGTTCCACAGCTCGGCACAAATCTCACTGCCTATGCAGGTGTCTATAGTGGACAAAACCACGTCTCCAAACGGCACTGTGGACTGCAATGAGGACATTATTATTACTCATTACAAATAAGGATTCAAGAAAGTTAAAGCTGTTTCTGAACTGTTGCATTAATAGTGTGAACTACTTTCACAATTTAAAAGAAATTATTACAATTTTAACCACAAAACCAGCAAATTATAATGAATTCTGAAGGATCATGTGACATTGAAGACTAGAGCAATGAATAATGGAAAAAAAAATAAAACTCTGACACCACAACAATAATAATAATAATAATGGCTGCACGGTGGCGCAGTGGGTAGCATGCTTGCCTCACAGCAAGAAGGTCGCTGAGTCGCTGGATCGAGCCTCAGCTGGGTCAGTTGACGTTTCTGTGTGGAGTTTGCATGTTCTCCCCGTGTTCGCGTGGGTTTCCTCCGGGTGCTCCGGTTTCCCCCACAGTCCAAAGACATGCGGTATAGGTGAATTGAGTGAGCTAAATTGTCAGTAGTGCATGTGTGTGAATGGGTGTGTATGGTTGTTTCCAAGTGATGAGTTGCAGTTGGAAAGGCATCTGCTGCATAAAAACATATGCCGGATAAGTTGGCGGTTCATTCCGCTGTGGCGACCCCAGATTAATAAAGAGACTAAGCTGAAAAGAAAATGAATGAATGAATAATAATACACTTTGAAAATGCTGCGTGGTCATAACCCAATTTGGTGTCAAATAAGGACAACCCCAACTACTGAGTTAAAAAGTTTCATTTAAATGTAATTGAAAACAATTTACATAGTGCTGGTTTTGTCTGTATTTGACCCAAAGTTGTGTTACGACAACTCGCATGCAAGTTTCTTTTCAGAACTCAAACGGTTCTTCTCACAGCATTATTCCTAAAACAATCTTCCAATGGGAACCTTTATTTGTAATCATGTTTTTAATAAAATCTTGCAATCTAAAATATGCTGGGCTGTATTAAACAAACATTGGGTCAATTACAGACAAACCCAATAACTGGGTTTATTTGTATAGTTGAATTGAATTAAATTACTTAAATCAACTGTTTTATTTGTCCATAACTGACCCAACTTTGTAATAATACAACCCAGCATTTATAGAGTGTAATAATGATAATAATACATAAATTTTCTTTAAATTAGTCTTTAAATTTAAAATTAGTATTATATTTAGAATTCTGTATTACACGCACACACACACACACACACACACACACACACACACACACACACACACACACACACACACAAACATAACCATAGGGCCCTATTTTGACAATCCATGTGCAAAGTCCAAAGTGCAGGGCGCAAACCCATTAAGGGCGTGTCATAATCCACTTTTGCTATTTTAAGGATGGAAAAATCTGCTTTGCGCCGTGGTGCATGGTCTAAAAGGGTTGAGCTCATTTTCTTAATGAGTTATAGGTGTGTTTTGAGAATAAACCAATCTGAGTCTCATCTCCCATTCCCTTTAAGAGTCAGTTGTGCTGTGCCATAGCGTATTTTCTATTTACATGGCGGACTTAAATAGAGCATCTGCAGCACGAGAATGAGAGATGAGCCTCCTCATTCTTTACTTTCGCTTTCACTCTGGTGGATAGGGAAACGTGTTGTATGCACAGACATGCATTAGCCTATACATAATTAAATTTGTTTATTAAGTGCAAAGACTTGTTTCAAGACTATTTCTAAATTCAGGTCTAATTTCCAGCAAACAAATAACTGAACAGTAATAACGAAGTGTGCTTAAAAAACGGAGTTATATCAAACACACATGCTGTGCCCCATATGGTCTAAAGCCTGACAGGTGGACAAATCTACGCTTGTTTTTAATAAAACAAATATTAAATTTATATGAGCACAAATGCATTTGCTATTTAAACAGCGTGGTTTAAAACAACTCAACACTAGCAAACAACAATTGCGTCGCACCTTGCGGCAGGTGTTTGATAGGGCCCATACAGTTGAAAGGCAATATTATTAGCTCTCTTGTGATTATTTTTTATTCTTTTTCAAATATGTTCCAAGTAATATTTAACTAAGCAAATAAACGTTCAGTTCTGGAGAAAATATTATTTCTTGACTGAAATAAAATCAGTTTTTACATTTTTACAAAATGACTTTTCAGGTCAATATTATTAGCCATAAAAAATTCATATTTTTTGATTGGCTAACGGGGAAAAAAAAAAAAAAAAACACTGTTGTCCAATGAATTGCCTAATTATCCTTACTTAGTTTAAGGTCAAGATAAAATGTATTTTCTCCCGTAAGAGAAATTTGTTTTAGAAAAAAAGGTTCAGCTGTACATAGACACCAACAAGACAACATATAACAAACATACATACACATTAAATATACTAATGCCGAGTTCAGACTGCATGATTTTCAAAGTAGTCGTGTCACGGATGTTTTCACACTGCATGACTATCTGGGCTTGCGTTTTGTCGCTGCTTTGTTTACACTGCCAGATGGATCGGCGACAGGAACTTTCACATTGCATGACTTTACAATGGGAAGAATCGCTAATAACTTCATCCAAACTACGTCTCACAGTCAAAAACACGTAGCATATCTTTAGTTATTAACTACATAATGAGAAAGAAGCCTTTAATGGGGTAGAAAATGTACATATTTGCTGACCTGGGTTTGAAGGGAATCAGCAATATCTCCTCAACTTTCTTTTTAGCTTTCTGTATGAAACATCAAACAGACACGGGTGCTCCTGTCCTGTTCCTCCATTTCTTGGGTGCAAATAAACTATAAATGAGCGCTTTTAACTTCTCCCTCAACTTCCCGCTGGACAGCTCCAGATATTCAGCACGCCAAATATCTCATAGGCATCGGCAGCTCATCGGCGGGTCAAAATCAGGGCTAAAATCATGCAGTCTGAACTCGGCATAACCTATTTAAGCCTTCAAATTACACTTTAATCTGAGTACTAATATCCTGCAAAATGACTAGTACAATATTATATACTGTGATCATGGTAAACACAAAAGAAATCAGCTATTAGAAATAAGATATTAAAACTATTGTCTAAAAATGTAAAAAAAAATAATAATAATAATAAATTAAATTTCACAAAAGGACTAACAATTTTCTCTAAAACTGTACATTAATTTTAAAGATATATTGATATATTGATTCCTATTTGGATGGATGAAGAAGCAAACTTTACCTGTTCTGTTACATCTTGGATCATCCTTGGTAAAAAGTACTCCTCGACATATCTGCACAGAAACATTTCAAATTAGATTTATTACTAACTGTTAAACGAGCCCTTGATTTAACCAATAAATCACAGAATGAACATACCGAGGTCGACTCCAAGGTGAAAACCATCGGAATTCCCTGTTGTTGCCATAATTTGCCAAAAGCATTTTAGGACGGATGAATAGTATCTTTCTGTCAGACATGAAAATAGACACATTAACAGACGTAGACATGAACAAATGCTTTGCACTACTGTACTGTGGAAAACGTACTTGTTCAAGAAAATGACTCTGCAATTATATCGAACATTGTGATGCATTACAGGCCTGAGGAAAGAGCACATCAGAAGTTTTGAGGTGCTATGAATCATAAAAAGATGTCATTTAGCTTTTGTTATTTTCTTTACGAGTAATAACACTTACATGCCCACATCACAGATGATGTCCTGGGTCAATGGAGATTCCAAGAGAGACTTCAGAACTTGGAAGCAATGGAGTAAAGTGTCGGACTCATAGAAGTGGTCTGCACAACCGTAGCCACTGAGACATACAAAACATTTGTCAAAATTCACAGAACACAAAACAGAAGATAATCAGTTAGCTATGTATATATATTTAAACAAAAAAATATTTTGTTGGCCAATTAAAATTTTCTATAAAAAAATAAAATAAATAATAATGATAATAATAATGTCAGTTGAAGTCAGAATTATTAGCCCCCTTGAATTATTCACACCCCTGTTAAATATTTTCCTCAATTTCTGTTTAATTTCTAAACATAATAGTTTTTATAACTCATTTTTAATAACTGATTTATTTTATCTTTGTCATGATGACAGTAAATAATATTTGACTAGATATTTTTTAAGACACTTTATACAGCTTAAAGTGACATTTAAAGGCTTAACTAGGTTAATTAGGTTAACTAGGCAAGTTAGGGTAATTAGGCAAGTTATTGTATATTATTACATTATATTATTACATTACATTATATATATATATATATATATATATATATATATATATATATATATATATATATATATATATATATATATATATATATATATATATATAGTTGAAGTCAGAATTATTAAACAACCTGAATTGTTCGCCAAACAAAAAAAAAAAAAAAATATTTGTCAACACATTTTGAAACATAATAGTTTTAAGACCTCATTTCTAATAACTGATTTATTTCATAAAAATGTACACAATCATTTTGTGTTAAGATAACATGAAGGAATTAAGTTAACTTATTTATTTATTTTTTTTTACAAATGTTAGTGGAATGTACATAAAACAATTAAGTTGTCCCCAAAAAAAACTCAAGAATGGGGTTGTTCAGCACATTGTAAATAAGTAGTTTAAACAAAGAGCATTTTTAAAGTGCAGTGTTTTATATATTTAAAAAAAAGATTAGCCAATATGATTTTATGGACATTTTTTTATGAACACTTATCTTGCACATGAAAAATCAGTGATGTTTATTTACATTTTTTTTAGTTAAATGCTGAACATCATGATACTGAAGTAAAGTTGCTTTTATATTCACATTCATTCATTGGCAATTTGTGACATGTTCCCTTATATTGTTTACCATGGTACTTTAAATATTCGGTCTGAAATCACATGCAAGTATGACTTCATTATTTTACTGTGAAGAATGTTGTACTTTGACAGTCATTGCCTGCTAATATGATTTAGAATTTGCAAAGAATAATTTTCTAAAGAAGAAATGTGTGAATCTAAAACCAACTTTGCCTAAATTGTCATGATCAAGAAAGTCTGTTGATGCTGTTGTTGTTATTATTATTATTATTATTATTATTATTATTTATAAAATAGAACTTAAATGCTTCACACATTTATTTTAAGTCAGCAGTGGGTGTTTGTAAAAACATTACCAGATTTCTAGTTCTGGCCCCAGTCTGTACTTGGCTCCTTTCTGTTTGGCAATTTCAATACCTGTTTTGGAGAACAGTACAGTATTTTTTAATGAGACGAGGTCACTTTAAGACCGTATGAACTTCAATGTTACTACTGCGGTAAATAATAAGAACTTACTCTTAAGTATTCTTCCCAAGTTGCCGTCAAAATCCAGCGCCCACTGATTCAATGAGCAAGTCGCCAATGTCACCTTGCGACCCATTTTGCACAGCTAGAAATGATTTAAAATGTATCAAAACGACACAGCACCTGACAGAAGTCATGCAGCAGAACTCAAAACTTTTATTTACTGTATTTTCCCCTTCCGGGACAATTCTTTCGCGTTTCAAAATAAAAGACAAAGCGATCTTGATTAGGAAAGCTAAAATTTGGGCAACAACAATACTGCTTAAAGTAATTTACATTGCAAATATAAAACGCAATTTGTCTAGAGCAACAGGGAAATAACAAATATTTCTGATTGCATTTTATATGTTCAGGTTCACAATTATTAATCTACAAAAACCTAGATTTTTAACGTTGCCAAATGAACATATAAATTAATTTAAAATATAAAATTAAAAGTATAATATAATATAATATAATATAATATAATATAATATAATATAATATAATATAATATAATATAATATAATATAATAATTATTATTATATATGTAATAAAATAATGTATACATTATTATTAAATAAATATATCACTAATAGTATTATGATCATTTCTAAAGAAATTACAAATATAGAAGACAATTTTTCTAGAACAAATAAGAAATAACTAATATTTTCTAATTGCATCTTGTCCTGCTCAAATCCACAGTTACAAATCTACAACAACCTAGCTTTTTAAGTTGCCAAACTTATAATAATAAATTTATAGTCAAGAAAAACTGTAAAAAATATATAATTAAATTTGTGAATAAATGTTATCATTATTATTATTATTATTATTATTATTATTATTATTATTATTATTATATTAATATTATTATGGTAATTTTCAAAGTAATTCAATTTTACAAAAAAAAAATCAAAATCTATAAAATTTGTATAAAGATATTTGTAAAAAAAATTTAACTCTAATTTGTCATTTATTTATCATTTCTAGTCATAGATATATAATTTCTAATGTACAATAACTGCGTAAAGGTGGCGCAACCACACGCCCTTGACGAAGAAGGGCTGAGCTCATCAGGAGTTCATGGCTTCAGGTCGCACTTGTCCAATCACTGACAATGGGACGCATTTTCTGTCTCTTTGATTGGATGTAAGATCATTGCATCACACGCAGAGGTGGGGTTAAACTCCGACCAGAGACTCCCATTTGCTCGTTTCATCATCACACAGTGAACAACATCTGGGCAGCCTGCAGTTGCGCAGCATCACCCCCGAAACAGTAAGCGTTTTGTGATATTTAATAATTTATCTTTTGTTCATTTCAGATATATACAATTAGCTAACGTTACTTATAACAATGCAATATTTATTCCAATTTAGTATTTCAAGCATTACACTTTGCAGCTCAAAATATTTGACATGCGTCTACTTATGCAGGTCTTCACATTTTAGTCAAGACGACTCAACTTTATTAACCTAACAATGATTGATTAGGGTGATGGATGTCCGCAAAGTTAACTTTACACTTATGTTTGCGATAATATATGTTATTGTGTGATAATATATTGTACGTACACACGTTTTAAAGGTGTATTTATATATGTAGCAGGCTAAACTGTCATATCAGATGAGGTAATTACAGCTGTCAGATTGGAGACTGACACTGATACGACTGTAATCTTAGACAGGTAAGCGCGTTTGCAATGAAGTCGCTTTGCACTTTTAGATTAGGCTGTAAAAGCACCTTTTATTTTGACAGAGACGCACAGGTGTCACGTACTCCTAATAATTAGTAGCTCACATATGTAAAATTGGTTTTATATTCGCACATTGGTTCATTTAACACTCCCCTATATTGTTTATCTACGCTACTTTGAATATTTTGATCTGCTTTAGCATGCAAATACGACTTTAAAACAACATGACAATTTAATTAACTCTAAACAACGTATATTTTGATAATCATTAACTGCCATTATGATTTCCCCATTAAAAATTTGCTAATGATACTTTTCTGAAATTATATTATTAAGGAGAATCTCTAAATATGCGAATATAAAACCAACTTTACCTCAGTGATTATCTCTACGCGACACATGATTGGATGTTCACCACAATTTCCAGTCTTCAAAATCTCTTTCAGTGTTATGTCATGGTGTACTTTTGGTCTTTACTGTCCATCATCAAGAGGAAAACTGTTTTCATTCATTTTCCTTTGGCTGAGTCTCATTATTCATCAGGGGTCACCACAGTGGAATGAACTGCCAACTTATCCATAAATGCCAGCTGCAACCCAGTATTGGGAAACATCCATGCACACTCATTCACACACATACACTACGGCCAATTTAGTTCATTCAATTCACCTCTACCACATGTCTTTGGACTGTGGGGGAAATCGGAACACATGCAACCTCCACATAGAAACGCCAACTAGCCCAGCCGGGGCTTGAACCAGCAACCTTCTTGCTGTAAGGCCACGGTGCTAACCACTGCGCCATCATGCCGCCCAGAAATTGTTTTTTATTTAATTAATTTACCTAATTGTTAACTAAATTGTACATTAATAATTGTACATAACCTAATAAGAAATCTAATTTAAGTTATTAGTGACTGAAATATGCTTGTATTTTATCAGTATCAGAAACTCTGCACTTTGAAATTTTGTGAACTTTGTGATGTTTTGTGAACTCTGTAATGTTTTTATTTAATTATTACATGTGAACATTTTTGTATATTTATATTTTATTTATACTTACACCTTGGTATGTATATTTTTTATTGTAAAATGTTATATGCTGTTCTAAAAATAAATAAATAAATAAAAGATTGGGTGTTTAAGAGCCGTTTAAAGATTATAAAAACATAGCATATCATTTGAAACCTTTTAAAACTTTTGGTGTCATTTCCATAATTGTTTCGATTAAAAAGAAAATATGCGTAGATCATGTAGACATGTAGAGTCTCTCTGGGTCTTAAAGGGATAGTTCACCCAAAAATGAAAATTCTGCCATCATTTACTCATCTTTTAAGTGGTTCCAAACCTGAGTTTCTTTCTTCTGTTGACTACATAACAAGCTGAAGAATGTTGAAAACCAGCCGTTGACATTCATAGTAGGAACAACACATTACTATGGAAGTCAATAGAAACCCAAACTGGTTTTGAACAAGTAAAGGGTAAGTGAATGAAGACAGTATTTTAAAATTTTTTTTGGTGAACTATCCCTTTAAATGGTTTCAATTATCTATTTCCAAATTTAAAGATGTAGGGTTTTAAATCAGAGTATTTATGAAGTCCTGGCATATCTTTACTTACAGTGGTAAATATTGCATCTACAAAAAAAAAATATATATATATAAATATATATATATATATATATATATATATATATATATATATATATATATATATATATATATATATATATATATATATATATATATATATTATAAAATATCTATTTGACAGCATTTTGGTTTTCAAGTAGATACACTGCAGTCTTAGCATCCTTAAATCAATTTACGTACAGTGTAAAATGACAAAACTGAATCTGTCTTTGTGACGAATAAACCAAATTAATTGAGTTTATGATGGCATGGTGGTGCACTGCTTAGCACTGTTGCCTATTAGCAAGAAGGTCACTGGTTTGAGTCCCAGCTGGTCCATTTGTCATTTCTGTGTGGAGTTTGCATGTTCTCCCAGTGTTGGTGTGGGTTTCCTCCAGGTGCTCTGGTTTCACCCACAGGTCAAAGACATGCACTATAGATGAATTGAATTAACTTAATTGGCTTTATAGTGTGTGTCTGTGAATGGAAGAGCGTATAGGTGTTTCTCAGTACTGGGTTGCAGCTGGAAGGGCATGCGCTGTGTAAAACATAGGCCGGAATTGTTGATGGTTCATTCTGCTGTGGCGACCCCTTATGAATAAAGGGACTAAGCCGAAGGAAAATGAATGAACGAGTTTATGATATGTTAATGGAAATGAAAATCACAGCAGATTGTTTATCTTAAATTAAATAAATGCTTCATTTTGATCACTTCTTTATTTCATGTAGATTTGCTTCTTAATTAAATAATTAAATAATAATTAGACGTTTGTCCTAGAATATTAGACAAAGGTACTTTTAAAGGACATAACTTTTTTTTTTTTTCAGTGTGAACAGAAGGTTTCAATATACTCCAGTGTTTAGGAGCAGTTATTTGTAGCTTATAAATGAACATTTAGAGCAAGCAATGACACAGGTTTCCCTTAATTATTTTATTTACCTGGTTTTAAAATGTATTTCAAAATTTATAAAAATCTTCAAGTCTTGCTATTGTAGGCCTATATCCTGATTCTTGAATATACGCAAAACATTTTTTGTGTCTTTTGACCAAGTGTGCCGCAAGCCTGCGTTTGAGTGAAGGTCTCGGCCGTTAGATCGCCCCCTGGGGGCTGGCTGCAGTACAAGTCATAAAGCCCACCTCCTCCGTGTTAATGAAGGAGACTTGAGCCCAAATAAAAAAAATTATTACACTTGCAATAAAATGTCCCGAAAGATGGTTCTGGTCGATTAAGGCACTGGTTATTGTGCTGAAATAGGTGCAGATCTTCATTTTTGTAAACAGTTTGTTTTTAGCAGTAATTTAATGCTGGGCGTGTCATCGTGATTGACAGCTGTGATTGACAGTTTCTCAAAGCAGCGCGTCTGAGCTTCGGCAGGAGACTGAAGTGTTATTATTCGATTTCTTTGTTATTTTACCATGACAAAATGAGTTCAGCAGTAAACTATAGTTTCTGACATACATGATCCTGGTGGAACACTGTTTATTCGCTAAGGTCAGGGCTTTTTTCGGGCTTTATTAGTTTGCTGATACACGCCTAGCCACCCAGATGGCAAAATACACTCGGACCAGTTCGGCTAGATTCTCGCCTGCCGGAGACTTACCCCTCAGAGCTCAGACTGACTACCTCTGCTGGACCTACTCCGGATGCCTGGACTCACTGCCCGATTACAGCCCGAGTCAATCAAGCCAGATGTGGCGGCCGAGCCAGCCGGCGCTGCCGCATGCGAGCCGGAATCAGCCCGCGACGCCGCGAGTAGGTTATGTGTGCTGCGGCCCGGAGCTGGCGCGATTAAATATATAAAACCTTCATATTTGTTAACGTTATTACATCCATTTGTGTTGATATGACAGCAAACGCATGCTGAGAAGTTCGGGGGGCGTGGTTGATTTTACATAAAGCGTTTGGTTGGAAGCTCGACTCCGCTCATTTTCGCGGCTCCTCCTCTGGGTCCATCAGACAGTCCTTCTGCGCATGTCAAGGCTCCAATTTCAGCAGTCTTTTGCGACAGTTTGTGCCCGTCAAGCAGGCGTTTTGCCCTCAAGGCCTTCAATGGGAAGAGGGGCTGTCGCGTCGTCTATATTTTTTTAAGTCATTGCTTTTGACAGCTTGATTGAAAATGAAGTACTATAATAACATGTAACAGTAACACACATGCTTTTTCCCTTGATAAATTATAACTCATTTCCATAAAATAATCTTTACTGATAATGTTATCAGGTTGACAAACAAATATTAAAATCCATAAATCAAAAACATAAAGCCGTGTCTATGTTGTACATTCAAAAAAAAAGAACTCATTGGATGAACTCAATTTAATTGAGGGCAGGATTTCCATTTAATAAATTTGTTTAGCACCAACTAAAAAAAGACAACTATTTACACAATTAAATGCAATTGAGTTGGTCCAACATGATTTTATCAAATCAAAGTTTAAATACATTTGTGTTTTTATTTAACATAAACTCAAAGGTCTGATAATATCATGCATGTTTATTATGTGTCATACATTTCGAAGTCTCTTAGTTTTAGTTGAAGTTACTGTATGCTAAAGTAACTAAAAGCCATTTTTAAGCATTTATTTATTCATTTTCTGTTTGGCTTAGTCCTTTTATTAATCCGGGGTCGCCACAGCGGACTGAACCGCCTACTTATCAAGCACGTTTTTACGCAGCGGATGCCCCTCCAGCTGCAACTCATCTCTGGGAAACATCCTCACACACTCATTCACACACACACACACACACACACAAACACACACTCATACACTATTTTGTCTTTGGACTGTGGGGGAAACCGGAGCACCCGGAGGAAACCCAGGCGAACACAGGGAGAACATGCAAACTCCACACAGAAATGCCAACTGAACTGACCCAGCCGAGGCTCGACCTAGTGACCTTCCTGCTGTGAGGCTCGAACCAGTGACCCAGCAACCTTTTTGCTGTGAGGCGAC